GTCAAATCTCTTAATCCTTCAGTCTCCTCATCTATAAAACAAGGGGGTTGTGTTAGATGGTCTCTGATGTCCCTTCCAGCTTAGAGCTCTCTAATCCTATGATACTAGTCTAAATTAAAACCACTATCAGAGCAGGAAGACATACATAGTATCCCTGTTAAGAGTTCTACTGAAGTTCTCCCACCCAGGCTTTCAGTGAGTCTACAGAAGATTAGCTCACGTCCCAAAACTATAAAATCCAACTAGAAAAACAGTCATTTATTTCCATCTGTACAACAATGAACAGAAACTTTAACCATAAAAGAATCATAGCAGGAGAGCAACTTGTCCCAAGACTACTCCTATGTGAACCTTATTCAGTTAAGACGAGATGAGATACTACTGCCACTACTATTAAGAATGACATTCCTAATGATGAGAGCCGTCCAAAAATGAAATGGGCTGGCTCAGGGTGAGCTAGAAGGCCTCTAAGGGCCCTCTAGCTCTTAGGCTCAATGATTCTTCGAGTTACTGTTTGATCTTGTAGTATTTGGGGACATGGTAGAAGACCCTGAGGAGAGACTACTGCGGATCTGGACCTGGCTAGAGATTTTTCGTCATGGAACACAGCTGCCCTCCTTACACAAAGCAGGCACTTAATGTTGGCTGAATTGTCTGTCCTATCTGCCTCTTCCTCTCCATTCCCACAGCTCTCATAGCAGTTCAGGCCCCCACTACCTCATGGCTGGACTTCAAAAGCTTTCTAAACGCTCTCTCCACCCAATCCATTTCTATACGAGGACATCAAGCCAGCTTTCCTAAAACATTAATTTTATGTTGAGCTATGACTCAAAAAATATCGAAAGGCTTCCTCCCTCTTCTGCCATTGCCTACATAATTCAGAGTCTGGCACAGGACACAGACTTCAGAGTTGGAAGGCAATCTAATTCAACTCCCTTCTTGTTGTTCAGTTGTTTTTCAATCCTGTCCAACTCTCTGTGACTCCATTTGGGGTTTTCTTGGCAGAGATAATGGAGCGGTTTGCCATTTCCTTCTCTAGTTCATTTGACAGAGGAGGAAATCGAGGCACACAGGGTGAAGTGACTTGCCCAGGGTCACACAAACGCTAGTAAGTGTCTGAGGCCAGATTTGAACTCAGGCAGAGGAGTTTTCCTGACTTCAAGTTCAGCAATCTATACATTTTCCCACCTAGCTGCATAATTCAACCCCCTTATTTGAGGACTGAGTCCTGAGACTTGGTCCTGGGAGGAATACGGACTATAGAAATCTCTGATTTAGAAGGTGGCTTGAAGTCACACCTGAGAGTTTTTGAAAGAGGCATACACAACATGTGAGAGAGCAGAGTAAAAGGAAGGAGCTGGCTTTATATGAGCTCAGTAGCAGTAGCAGTGGCAAAAAGACAGCATCTCTGCTCTACTTGGGACTTAATAAGCCAAACTGAAAAAAAAAAAAATAGTGGCACAAGGATAGTGATGGGGTGGGGGGAGACAGCAGGTAAAATTTAAATTAGAGCAGAGAAGCAAACCTCTGTTCAAATTTTAGGAATTTTCCTAACTTGGGGGTGGGGGTGGGCATCTGAACTATAGTAATTGTTGCAATCACTTTTGGTCCTATACAAACACCATAAGATGGCAGAGAAAGGGATCAGGTGGATCTGAAGGCCATTACATTGCCCCCACGATAAAATCAAGGTACTTGTTGAAATAGGGTGTGGCTCATTAAATTTCTGGAGAAGACTGAGGTGAGGAGGAAAAGTTGGTGATTGAAGAAAAGATCACATCCTCACCCACCCCCAAGGGGAAAACAGGTGAGGCCTGCGAAGGAAGAGCTCAGCTTCTTCCCTTCAAGAAGGGAGGAGGACGCAGAAAGGGTCCAGAACCTTCCACAGTGCCACCCTCTGGTGTTACAGAAGTAACTGAAGCCCACATAATTCAGGCTGGCTTTCCCAAGTCAGCAGCTCTCATTCCAAAGCCAGGGAGGGCTCTTTCTGAGCCAGCTGTCACAACCTTATAGCCTCACATCCTGGGACAGCTGCAACCCCACCTCACGTTCTCTAATCAAACTTATCTACCACTGCTTCAGGATCCTGCCCACTGTGGCCTGGTATTCTCCCTGGCTCCTGAACACACCACTGTCAGTCTCCACTCCAAGATTTTGATAATGTTTTCCTGATAGCTTAAAAAAAACCTTTCTCTTTCTCTCTCCCTTACTCCAGATCCTCCCCATACTTCTGAGGTCCAGCCCCAGTGTTGCCAGCTTCATGTGGCCTCTCGGCCACTCCATTTTGACAGATTTCCTCTTTTCTCAACTCCTACTGGACTCCTATATACTACCGTGGGTTGTTTCCTATTCCTGGAACATGCGTCTCCTACCTCTGTGCCAAGTCAATTTCTACACAGCTGACAAAGCCCAATTCAAATGGTAACTTCTTCAAGAAGACTTAGAAATTCCCTGGCCCCACCCCAACTGGTAACAACGTTGTCCTCCTGCTCTCGGTCTTCTGTTTTGCACATCATGTAATATTGTACATTAATGGATATCTGTGCTTATGTGTGGGCATAATGCCCTCTTGTTTATCTTGTTCCCCAAATGGATTGTGAGTTCATGTGGGCAGAGACTGGGGGATCTAAATTTTGTAACTCCTCCAGCTCCTAGCACAATGCTTAGAAGCCAAGAGTGGACACTTAAGCGTTTGTCAAATGAATTAATTTCTAATAGCAAATAAGATATGATGACTACTTGGTGCACCATCCAGGTGTCAGAACCTAATCTGGATGCCAGAAACAAAACAAAACAAAACACTTTTTTCTCCTTGGGGGGAATGTAACCAATACCTTGTCTTAGGCGAATGATCTCCTCAGATGAACCTCAGCTAAATCAACATGTACACCTCATGTGGGGAAGATTGGCAGAGACCTTCTTTGAACTGGTGATTTCAAGGTGTTAGCTATGTAACCTTAGGACTCAGTCACATAAAACATACTTTCTAACCACTAAATAGTACTTGGGCAAAGTTCTCAAGCCAGCACTCTGAGTCTGGCAAATAGCTGCTGGTCAAGTGTGTAAGCACACACGTGGGAAGTACCTATTGCAACTGGAAGAGTACTGATTCCTCAGGCTTGGGTTGGACCTTGGGTTTGGATTCCAGTTCAGTCACTTATCTTGTGTGCAACCTAGTATAAGTAAGTGCCTTCCCTGCTCTGGACCTCAGTTTCTTCCTCTGTAAAATGAGGGGTTCAACTAGATAATCTCTAAGGGTCCTTCCAGACCTAAATCCCCCCATCAAATGATCTGATTTACGTATAGTATAGTATCACTTGTTGTTGTTGTTAAGTTGTGCCTGACTCTTTGTGACCCCATTTGGGATTTTCTTGGCAAAGATACTGGAGTGGTTTGCTGTTTCCTTCTCTGGCTCATTTTACAGATGAGGAAACTGAAACAAACAGGGTGAAGTGACTTGCTCAGGGTCACACAGCTAGTAAGTATCTGAGGCCAGATTTGAAATCAAGAAGATGGAATCTTCCTGCCTTCAAGCCTGGAACTCTGTCCACTGCACCACCTAGCTGCCCTATTGTGTATTATAGTTATCTGTATTTGTAGTTTATGCCTAAACTAGACCATTAGCTCCATGAAGGCAAGAACCACGTCTTATCTAAGATTTATGTTTCCCACAATACCCAGCACAATGCTTTGTACGTAAGTAGGTATTTAATAAATGGTTAATTGCTATTATTAAATTACAAAACCTGGAATGTCTTGAGCATCCTGAGCGCCAGCTTCCAATGTCTCTGGAAGTATCTAGCTTAAACCCTTGGAATCCCAGACACACAAGTTCTTCTTTACCTCTAATGCCTCCTTCTTTTCTTTCTCCAAGTTACGGATCTTTAACAGGTTTTTCTCTTGGGCTGAAAATTTCTTTGTTTCTGAGTGGTTTGGCATCTCCTCCTCATTATTAATGGAACGGTTCCGGATTGAACCTAATTGATTCTCAAGCTCTCGAATCTGTGGGAGAATATAAAAATAAAGTTCCACAGGTATAGGTCTGAGCTGAAAGGCCCTACCACTGAGCAGGTCAATTTGACCCAATAAAAGAGAAATGGTGTAATGTTCCACCACAGTGCCCGTCAAATGTGCAGATTGAACAAGCTTGACCAAGGAAGGTAGGGACCAGAATTCACTAGCACCATTGACAAAGGACAGTGGTAAATTCCACCCCTACCTCCTAATTTTTCATATATGACTAGGAAAAGTTGTTTTTTTTTTCTCAGTTAATCTGGTTATAGTCACTTCATATATCTCAATTATATCTTTTTAAATCTTTCAAAGGGACATTAGCTTGAATCACAGCATTGATATAATTCAAAGCCCACAGGAGAAGCTCTAAAGAACTATGTACAACCAGGCCACTCCAAGGACAGAGAGGTTTGTCCTCGACCCCAAACTGCAATGTCTACAACTACTCACAAATGAGAGTGGTAAAGGAAAGAGCACAAAAACCTGGGTGCTAGTCTAAACTCTCTGTAACACACTAACTGGGTGACCCTAGAAAAGCAAGTCCTCTCTCTGTTGAGTGAGTTTCCTCATCTATAACACGGGACAGATGAACCAGAAGATCTCTAGCTCCCTCCTGGCTCAGACATTCTGTGATCTATGTTCTAAGGTCCCTTCTAGCTCTAACATTCTATGTTCTAAGGTTTCCTCCGACTATAACATTCTCTGTTCTAAGTTCCTTTCCAGCTCTGAAATTCTGTGTTCTAAAGTCTGTTTTAGCTCTGACAGTCTATGATCTATATTATAAGCTCCCTTCCAGCTCTAACATTCTGTGTTCTAATCTTTCTTTCAGCTCTGACATTCTATATCTTCAGGCCTCTTCAAGCTCTGACATTCTATGTTCTAAGGTTTCCGCCAACTATAACATTCTCTGTTCTAAGATCCCTCCCAGCTCTAACATTCTATGTTCTAAGCTCTCTTTCAGCTCTGACATTCTATATCCTAAGGCCTCTTTAAGCTCTGACATTCTATGTTCTAAGGTTTCTTCCAACTATAACATTCTCTGTTCTAAGATCCCTTTCAGCTCTAACATTCTATGTTCTAAGATCTCTTCCAGCTCTGACATTCTATGTTCTAAGGTCTCTTATGGCTCTGACAGTCTATGATCTATGTTGTAACTCCCTTCCAGGTCTAACTTTCTTATATTCTAAGGTCCCTTCCAGCTCTGACATTCTGTGTTCTAAGGTCTCTTCCAGCTCT